GGTCGCCTTGGGATCTCGCCGTCCCCAAACTAGGTGACGCTGTAAAGGTCATCTGCGACCAACAGCGTACACACTCAAAAAAACCTTTGGTTTTTTGAGAATCTCTCTGGAACATAACACTTTTCCGGGATAAAAAGTATCCCTAACCAGTTCGGTTAAAACGGTATGCGTGCCCAATTTCATCCAAACCCGTTCAGTGGTTTAGGTTGAGTTTAGGCGTGAAAGTGTATCAAACAAACAACCGGTGAGGTTGTTTGATACGCTTCTCTAATTCGAAACTATAATTATTAGTAAGTTAGCACGTATTTTGCATCTAAGAGCGATGGTCAGTGTTTTTCCCACTATTCGAAAAGTTCTCAATGTAGTTTTTTCACTTTAAAAAAGCTCGTCGAAAATTTAAATTTCGAATTTCCACTTTGGTAAGCAGCGGTTTATTCATCAGCCTGTTTTTTTAATAATTTTTTGTTTTCGTTTGAAGTTTTCATGAGTGGCTAACCAGCTGTAGAAATATTCGACTGGCCTGACCAAGCGTTTATAAAAGGCAACCGGGATTAATTAAGTACACTTTTGTCTATGCCACCTTTTTTCAGCTATTGTATTTTTTTTTCTTTAACTCAAAACACGGTAGATCTGCAGCGCAGGAGGCAAACAAAATATAACTCTAGCATGGTGAAAAATGAAAAGGATATTTATGTAGGGGAACATTTTAGAGGATTACTTAGCTAGCTAGCTTAGCTTTTGCTATTGTAAGTGAAAACGGAATCTAGGCCATCTTAGCTTTTTTTTTTCTAAGTGGCTTCGCACGGCTTGTGCATAGCCAATGTCAAGTGTTAAAATGTTTACAAATACTATATAGCACTCGTGGTCAAAGTAATAAATCAAGTCAAAGTAAGTGGCAGTCAAGTCAATCCCCCTTTCCCTATGTTTCAGTAAAAGTGAGGATTTACTAGAACCTCCCCGTGGATTCCTTGAGGGAACGTCGAAAGACACTTTTCGCTATTTTGTTTCACTTGCCAACACTTGTGCATATTCCCGAACACTTAGTGGTTAATAATAATCCACCATTATTAGACACTAACATCCGCCACAACACAATTATAACAAGAAAAATAAAACTGTTAAAGTAACGCTTCCCGATCCCGCCAAAAACTCCCATCTTAGCTTAGTGCTTGCTACTTTGATATTGTTTTTTTAAATGTTATCAGAGTGGCATACAAGCATATGGACCGCCTGATAGTAAGCGGCACCATAGCTTATAGACGCTTGGGATACCAAAAATATCCCTCACTCAGTTGCCTATCCTGACCCAATCCCCCACCCCGTGGAGGCCTGGAACCATACTCACAGTTAGAAACAAAACACCACCAAACGGTAGTGTTTTTTTAATGTTATCTTTTGTAAGGTGAAGGTTACTTCCTCAGTTGGCCGCTCCAATCCAAGCGGAAATTCCACTATGCCCTACTTCTCTTAATGTATTTATTTGTAACTGTGCATGATTGCAGAAGTTGTTGTGATCAACGTCCAAACATGCATCTCGTCCACTGAGAAGCTAATGATGATTAATTTTTGGTCACCAATCCGAAGACCGTTAATAGAAAAAAGTTAAGAATGAGAATATAACATTGAATCTTTTGCACAGAACACAGAGAGAGGTTCCAAGGGTGATTATATACTGTTTCTACTAGAACCGATGTCGCCGGTTCGCCCCCACTACACTTCCTCCTAATAGATAATAGCCAATCAAACGACGCGACATCAAACAATCGAACCAATCAGCGCTCACAGCCGAGAGCAACAACGCAATCAGAACCAAGTTTTGGTCAAGTTATAAGCATTTGCTCATACTTAACTGTGGCGCGTCTGCCTGACTCACAAGGCAGAAGGGCAATCTCTTTCTGTGTTCTGAAGTCTTTTGTTAAAATAAGACAAGGTCGTCTTATCGCTGTGTTCCAAACGACTGAGTTATAATAAACAGTTTGCCCTCCATTATTCCCTCATTCTGATACTTAATAAAGGGCCTTAGAAACTTATTGTAATACGGAATGACTGGGCAATGTGACTTATTTCGTTCTATTATTGGGCGAAGAAAGGCTAATTTGTATAATGGATCATGATTATCCCAATATTTGCGTTTACTCCAGTTATACCTAGAGATAGATTTTATAAAATCTAAAATGGTCTTAGAATTTTACGTGTTGCATCATCTTGTTGCGAGTTAACCCGGGTTTTGACAGAGTCTGTGAAGCCTGATCGGCCTTTGACCACGACCTTTTTTACACGCTCTTATCGTATGTGATCCATTTTTCATCACCAGTTATCAGCTTCTTCAAAAATGGTTCGGTTTCATTACGTCGTAATAAAGAATCACAAATGAGTACACGGTTTCTTTCAGTAAACTCGTGAGGCACCCAAATATCGAGCTTTTATGTGTAGCTTTTTTCAAATGCGTCAAAACTGTTCTGTAGTCAATTCCCAGTTCTTCAGCTATTCGTAACAATCGATATGCCGATCTTGCTCAACTTTTTCAAAAATTACATCCATTTTATCCGTAACAGGGCGACCAGAGCTTCTTTGACATCAAAATTTCCGGATTGAAAACGCTTAAACCAAATTTGTGCTACTATCACAGACACTGCACTAGGTCCTTAAACATCACAATTTTTTTTTCGCGGCTTACGATGCATTTTTACTTTGTTTTTTAAATGTATTGATTTTCTTTATTGGATTCACTAATCTTGACAGTAAGAAAAACAAATGAAAATCATACATTTATTCTAATACGAATTTGGAATTACTTTCGTTAAAATTTAAACTTTTTAATGATACCAAAACCAGCCGGATAAAAATCTTTTCGCACTTGAACTTGTAATAAAATCTATAGATTTTATTAAAAGTTCATACATACTATAATGCGATAAACTTTTTCCCCGACCTATTATATTAAGATGACGAAATTATGTCCAAGCCTTTGGAACACAGAGGACGTCACCAAACAAGTCATTTATTAGTTTGTCTACGCGAAAAGGATAATACGACACATGAATATTGGTTCTTAATGCGCGCTACACACGTTCAGCTTTAACTGTGCGATTCAACTGTGCAATCAGATTGTGCAGATATATCAACATCACATTTATTGCACACATTCAGTTTTAACTGTGCTATTGATACACACACATGTTTAAGTTTAAAACTGCGCATCATTCAGTTGTCATTAACGTGATCCCCATATTTTAAAGATCGTATGGTTAATCTGTGCAACAAAAACGGAGAAAACGAAAGCAACATGAGCTGTGATATAAAACTGATGAAACTGCGCAGTTTTCTGCTACACACTATTAGTTTTAACCATACAGTTTTCTCTGTCCAGATTTATCTAATAACATTTTATGCATCCGTTTGTTAAATACTCTAAACTATTTATTCGTACAGGCTGACTTTGCAGTTGGATCACACAGTTAAAACTGAGCGTGTGTAGCGCGCATTAAACTAAACTAAAACTATACAATCCACATTCAAATAAAAACAAACGGTTGAAAATGTTGGATTTGACATGAATGACTTAAATGCAATGCAATTATATAATGTGTCTGCCGGTCTCCTTTATATTACGGGACGGTCGTCTTTTATTTTTATAAAAGAAATATTTGTTTAAATAATTATATAAATGATTAGTGAAAGTGAGTTGATTCATAAAGTTGTGCTTCAGCATACCGTATTTCTTAAATGTTAGAATATTTTTCTCAAAATTGGAAATTAGTAACGTCTTCTGATCATCACGACGACAGCATAAGCAGACATGAAGACATGAAAAAACAAGAAATAGATTTTAAAACAACAAAGAAATAACTACTAAGTATAATACTATTAGGCGGAAGAATTTAGTAAAATCTCATTTAAATCAATTGTGCACAAATATAATTAAGTGCTTATAATTAGTGATTTGGTTATTACTACGTAGGTATTATTCATTAAATAAGTACTTAGCAATAAAAACTCGCGTGCAGATACGAGTTATATTAATAGCGTACCTAGTCCTCAAAAGCACAGCACCAAAACCACAAATATTTATTTGGGACATAAGGATAAAGGCTTTAATATTAATGCAAATATTATTTTTAAGAATAAAGGCTTCAATAAACAAGTGCTTAAAATTCATTTTACATCAACAACAGGTAAAGAGTAAAAGGATCGCGGTATTTTTGTTAGGAAATGAGTTTCCGACACAAAGCTCTTATTTAATGGACTCAATACGCTCGCAGAGCACCGGTGACATCGAACCCGTGTATTCATTAAGCCATGTATCCACTGAGCAACATAATCGCGCAACAGGTGATGCTTAATATTTTCGACTTTCACAAAAGGACACGAATAAGTCTTCATTTGTTCTTTTAAAAATAACGCTTAACAATAACCTTACTAACTTAATAAAGTACATATCTTAAGCTTAAATAATTGTATGTTTCTTTTTATTTTAAAATAATTATTTAACAATCCTATGTTATGTAATTTTGTTGTTAATTGCTTATTCAGCGCGAGGTGGCGCAATAAGACAGGCCTCATATTGCATGTTGTCGTGCAAAATTTAGTTGCACATCAAATGTTGTGTGTGTGTAGACATGATCATTGTCTACATACATTGTTATTTATTACATTGCTTAATCGTCACTTAAAAAAGTTCTGCTTTGTCAATCAACCAGATGAAAAGTTTTAGTAATTTATTGCGAGTGAATTGTTGCGTAGTGGAAACAAGACATCTGTCTCGCAACTTATGTCGCTCAACATGCGTCGCTGCGTTGTTATCACCTTACATCGCAAGGGAAACAACAGACAAGCCTGCAATATGTTGGACCATAATTATAATTAGCAACATGCTAGGCCATAATTTTGTTGAGCGACACGTCGTTCATCAATTTTGCAATGTTTTCAACAGACTACCTTTCCGAGTGTCGTAGCACAGAATCTGGTGCAATTAAGATATATCAAGAAGATCTACGTACAGCTTATAGACGCACCTTATCTTGCCCCAGCGGTTGAAGAATAGTGCGATGGCCGCTACCCAGAGGAGGAGGACAAAGGCCACAATTAGGGCCTCCTCCGCTCTCACCACTACACCGCTGCCATCTGTGGAGAGACGAAACAAGTTAATTTTTAACCGACTTCAAAAAGTTTTGCGAATACGCCTTGTTACATCGTAAAAACTATCCAGAAATACAAAAAAGCATTTACTTTTGACTTCGTATTTGCTTTGGTGCTACGCATTGTGTGTACCGTCCGCTCCATCTCTATTTGTTCTATAATCTGAGATAACATAGTTATAAATAAATAAGCTAGATGGAGGGACCATCACTGTCCACAAGAAAAATGGGTTTATCTGATAACATGTCCCGCCCACCGTAAAATTATAGCAGGTGGTTTGAAATATTATCTAACAAAATATTGTCTTCTCATAGAAATGTTATTTTACCTTGTGTTTTCCAAAATAACATTACTGCACTGCCAAAATGAACTTTATTAAATATATTGTTTTTGTTTTATGTGCTTGATATATAAATCTCAAGTATTTTTTTCCTAGAAAAAAATCCACTTGGATGAGACAACATTCTACACGGCTAGGTCTCAGTAGCATAACGGTTAAGGCGTAGCTTCGAATCCTACCTGATACCAGGAGCCCTACTCTAATTTAACGAAAACCGAAATTTGGATTGGATCGCACATTTTTGCTGTGTTCCTATTAGTTTCTAATTAAAATAATATTCGGAGCCCGATCTGATAGATTACACCGGCACATAAAAAAAAAATGTCTGTACACCGGGCGCCACCTATCTATGTTTTTCGACCCGCTGAATAAGAATTTCAAGTCAGTTTAGGCCGTCCAGCCTTCAATTTCGAGTGAATTGCAAAAAACCCCAAAAAATTTTAATTCGATGTTTTGGCAAGAAAATCTAAGGCAAGCATAATTTTCATGTATTTTGATCTGTTAAATACTATTTTCAATCGTACTTTAATCATAAACCATTTTAAATCTAAAAAATAAATATAAATTATTATTTTTTTCTTGCTCCGTTTCGTTTTTATATTAGTTTGTGTTAAATAATTTTACATAAAATGTTAAATTTAATGCCCTTCATAATACTAACATTTTATTTTGTTATTTATGTTCAAGAGGCACACACAGACGGTTCTTTTTATGATTTTTCCTTTCGCGGGCCTGCTGGAAATAATTTCAATATGAAATAAGCAATACCCTTGTACAAATTTCTCGTTTCATTCTACTTATCTGATTTATTGTGTGTGTACTAAATAAATTTATAAATAAAATAAGAAAAACACTGGGACTACATACCATCAATAAGTATCGTAAATTTCGAGCGAAGCGAGACCAATTCATCTATGTTATTTCCCTACTGTTTATGATGTTTTTCTGTCCCAGTTAAAACGTAAACTGCTTTAATAATACAAAAAAGTGGAAAAAGAAATGTGCTTGAAAACTGTTGCAAGCAAACATGCCCCGGCTCGGCCGTGCTCTGGGCTTGGCCTTGATCTGATTATATGGATCACTGTTCTTGACATTTTCACGGATAAAATGCACTCCAGACATGGAGACTCTTCAAATCTCTCGATAGTTATTGAAGACTTTTCCAGTTGATAAAGATTTTGTTTTACTTTTTAGGGTTCCTTACCCGAATTACATAACGGAATCCTGTTAAGAAGGCTCTGGTTTATCTGTGTCAGCCGAATGTGTGGAACAGTTAAAAATCTCACAGCACGATTATTTATTTGGCTGTCGTTTAAATAACATTAGTAATCCAGTAGTCATGCAAGAAAATATAATTATTGAAGTTATACTTCTTTAGGCGCGTTATGAAAAAATGATGAGAGTGAAATTTTAAGATGCGCGCGCATCACTGTAACACTAAATTTTAACATAATGAAGTTGGTCGCTTTAGCGACCAACTTCATGCGTTACTTTTGTGTTTACCGCACATTAAGAAAATCTACCAAGAAAATAGAAATAGAATCTCTATTTAGTGGGTGCTAACGACTGCATTGTGAAGGCCTATCAAAAGTATTTATTAATCTGGAACAACGGAACCAAAGCACGATTCAGGAGACTACAGCGCCATCTCTTGACCATTGGTGTAGTAGAACCGCATCTTTATTTTTTGTAATAAAGTAACAGTTATAGGTATTCATATTTATAATATTTATCCACATGTTTCTAGTTTGTATATTCGGAATACGTGTTTGAGTTTCATACAAGTGCGATTTTAATGGAATATTTTGATTATTTATTTATTTTTTCAAATTAAAACTGAACTTTATTGACTTCGTCCTTTTCCAGACTTTTTATTAATTTATTGTAATTAATTATTTGCATGCAATTAAAAACTAATTTTTAACGATGCCAAAGAAGGATAACTTCTCACGCGCCTACATAAGTACACGCACCCATTTTTTTTCCAATGTTATAAGTAATTGTTATATCTCAAGAGGGATAGGAGAGCAGCAAATATACAGTAGCTTGAGTTTTATAAAGTGCAAATATATTTTTTACCAGTTTCATCGAAGTGCTAGTAAATGTCGATAGGCAACAGATTGCTATAACTTTGATGAAAACCAAAGGAAATATAGGCCTTTTTAAAAATGTTATTAAAAGCTTTATCTAGTAATTTACTACATATTAACTTATGGAATGAAAATAAAATAAATAGCCCACGAAGCATTTTATTACTCAAACGTTATTACTCAAAAGTTTAACTTTACGCTGAGATTAATTGAGGCGTAATGTTAACTTTTGGAAAAGCGCTCCGCCGAGCGTAGGTATGCAAACTGAAGTACATCTGTGAGATTATCTTCTGTGCTCTGTATTTTATAGTTTTACTCTTTGTGACGAAAGGACAATGCCAAGTGTCCATAGTAACTTTGGCTTTATATAAAATTTTCACGGACAGCAATGAAAATAGTTTTATTGTAACTTTAAATTAGGGAAGAAATCCAATAGGGAAGATGCAAATATAATATTTATGAAAATTTTATGATTAAAATGTTAAAAAAATATAAAAGAAAGGCTACTACAACGTTTTTATTTTACATAATGTTGTTTTTTTAACAATAATTACAAATTACAAATTACTTGAATAAAACGTATTTTAAAACACCAATCAGAGTTTAGTGACGTCACTACTGTTATGACAACTTATTTGAGGATAAGGTTGTAAAAGTGAATATTATTTTATGGGAATATTAATTGCGTTTTTTTGATAAAAATGGAAGTTGGGTTTATTAAAGCAGACTCCAGGAATTTACCAAGAGTTAGTGTTGACATGGTTGCAACTTTTTTTTTCCAAAGTGCAGAGTTTTCAAGTTTAGAAATGAAAGTGACTAAATTACTACGGTATGTATAAATCATAGTTGTTAAACTTTGTATTTTATTCAGCGGCTTATACACATAGCAGTTATTCAGCTCAACAAGAGAATCTTACGGCGATAACGCAATCGGTTATGTCCAAATTAAAAGAGATGGAGAATTATGTACAGTAAAAATTCGAGTTACTCCGGAGCATAGTACTTATAGAAGGTTATCGTGTTACAGTTATTTTAAATGAAACGCAAAGCTTGGTTCAGTCCTGCCAATGTGTAGAGTGTGCCACACATTTTAAACTTTATCCTATTTTCCACGTCATTCTCCAACTATAAAATTAAAAATATGTTATAGACAGGTTTTGTAAGTATTAGGTAGGTTACTAATGCGTTTTTACGTACAAGGAGATTAATTAAGGATATAACAAGTATATTCGCCGACTTACGTCAAAGTGATCTTCACAGCATCGAATATATTCTTTGGAGAATAATTGTCATTTCTCTTCGCAGCTTGAAACCACTTTTTTCTCAGTTTTGTGTCAATTAAATTAATTCAATCAAAAGTCAAAAACAATTTATTTGGAAATTTTGTTGAAGTAGATGGACACATTGGCACAAAACATGAGTCAACACGGCTTTTTTTCGGAATATTAGTGGTATTGTTATGATCACCTGATGTTGATGAAAAGTCCATTTTAAATTTTTACAAAAAAAATATCTCGAAAGTCGAAAAAATATGTAAAAGTATGAAAATTGAAAGCCAGCGATGAACAAGTACGACCAGTGACAGACAGGAGTGACGTCATCGGAACCATAGGTCCGTTTTCGCGCGAAAATTAAAACTGACAATTTAAAACCGCAATTTTTTCCGATAAATTACAATGTTTTAAATAAAACTAGTTTTTACGGGTTAATGCACGAAACTTTATTTATTATTCTGACGACGAAGCCTGTAAAGGCTACGAAACGTCAATAAATAAATTAAGTTTCGTGCATTAACCCGTAAAAACTAGTTTTATTTAATGAGTGATGTGCGTGAAAACCTAAGAAACAAATATACAATGTTTTAATTTTTTATTATAGCTGTGGTTTATTCTACATGGAATTCTTTAAAATGAAAATAAAAATAAAAATATTGCATCTTCCCTATTGCACCAAAGTTTAAATTTTAAAACTAATCTTGATTAAGCCTCATTCTATCTCTTTTTGACTATAAACAATTGACAAAGATGGAGTTTAACACGAGTAAGCCCTAATTTGAATTAAGAACTTTGGTGAAACTGGGTCTCAGTTAACGACTACAGTTAACTAGTTGAGAAATTCCAGTTGTTTTGTTTAAACATATTGTTAAAACTGTCTAGACCTGACCTGTGTGAATTTTTAGCTTTTCGTGAGACACAAGACTAGCGAGAGGGGGTGGTTACAGTGAAATCTCAGAATAACCATGACGTGGAGCCTCCAGTCACCCTTACTGCATTCTATGACCATATAAAATACCTCATAATATGTCATCACTGATGTTGTGAGCGGTGGAGTGGGAGGATGAGGGGTGCAGCCTCAGAATCACCTAGGCGGGAGGCCTCCAGTCGCCCAACTCCGTTTGTGACGATACATAATGACCATGATTGTGTTATACACTCACCGATGTCAGCTAGCGATACGTTGGCTCGAGCGGTGGAGTGGGGGGAGAAGGTGCAGTCTCAGAATTACCTTGACGGAAGGCTTCCAATCGCCCCACTCCATTTGTAACCATACATATGACCATCTCTTATACTTCACTGACGTCAGCTAGCGACACGTTTGCTCGAGCGGAGGAGTAGGGAATGGGGTGTGGTCGATTTCAAGGTGAGGTCAATAAGGAACTCACACTATCACTACTGGCATGGACAGCACACCTCAGAATTTTAGTAGGGCCCACGTCTTTCTGTTCAGGTCTAGGTAGGGCATGCGAGAGAATTCTATATGAGCAAGTGTTGTAAACTTACCGATGTCAGCTTGCGACACATTGACTGTCAAGTGGGGGATGGGAGAGAGGTGTCGCCTCAGAATCACCACGGCGGGCTTTCAGGCTTCCTTCTTCCATTCTGTGACGGTCTGACACCCCAATTAATCAATATCAATTTGTGAGATATTCGTTCGAGCGGTGGAATGGCTCTTCAATTCCACTATGTAACCACGTGTTGAGACTCACCGATGTCAGCTAGCCACAAGTGGGCTCGGGCGTTGCAGTGGATGGAGGGGTGCTGCCTCAGAATCACTTAGTAGGGCGGTCTTCAGGCGTCCCTCTTATGGCGTGACGGACTGACTCCTCAATGCCAACTAGTTAGACACTTGCTCGAGCGGTGGAGTGGGCCTCCAGTCGCATCAATTCCACTATGAGACCACGTATTATGAACTCACCGATGTCAGCTAGCGATGAGTTGGCTCGAGCGGTGGAGTGGGGGGAGGGGTGTAGTCTCAGCACCACCTCGGCGGGTGGCCCGCCCGTCGCACCGCTCCATTCTGTCGCCAGAAACAATTGTATGATGACAACTTGTTATGTTATATTTAGGAAATCCATAGCGCAAGTGGGTAACGAGTTTGGTCAATGATCGTAAAAGTTAAGCAACTCTCGCACTGGCCGGTCCTAAGTTGGTTGACCAAAAATTTATTAATCATGCTTTGGAAGGCACGCTAAGCCGTTGGTCCTGACTGCATTTGCAGATGTTAGCACTCACAAATGCACACAGAACTCTCGTGGTAGGTCATGACCCAATCTCCTTATTCCATCCATAGGGTAGGCCTGTGTCCCAGCCTACAAGCCTGATCAAGCTACGGACATCTCAAAAGCTTCTCTAAGCCTATGCAGATAATTTAATTATACTGCTTTCAGACGGGAGTTTGAGCATACTTGCCAAGGCTAAACCATTACTTTTTAAAACTTTCAACATCTTTTAATAAGAACTACAGAGGATGTAGACAAAAGGCTATCTTTCTATCAATTTTAAGTTAAGAAATTAAGTAACACTTAACTTTTAAATTTCATGTCGAGTGTTCATAATGTAGCGGTATAAGTTAGTGTTATCGATGAAATGGGTAGAAGGATTGCCAATTTCTACGTATAAGGCACTAGCAATGTTTCCAAAAAATTAAAAGATTTATCATTAAACAGTCATTCACATCATAAACATAATACGTACGTAATTAAGAAACACTTAAAAAAAGAATGGATGTGAATACTAAATCATGAAATTATAAACATGACAAACATTAAGATTTTTTTTTTACTAGAAAAATTCAAGTCGGCTCAGGTTTCAAAAGGGCTTCGATTTTTTATAGTAAAATTTTCTTTAGATTTAAACATTTAGCAGTTAAATGCTTACAATAAAATGATTGACAACAGTTACTCCGTGGTCATGGCTGACAACAGTTACTCCGTGATCATGGCGCATGCAACAGTGCCGAAATATCGGAAAATCATAAAAAACAAGGTAGATGGTAACAACCCCGTTAATAGCTTTAATGTTAGTGACCATAAAAGTTTAAAACAATATATAAGGAACATTATGTAGAAAAGAAGAAGGAGCAAATAGGTACTTACCTAAAATAGTACATTTTAGGAACAGAAATGTGAGAATGGTGTATTTTTATGTGAAAGAGTGAAAGGGTTAATATACAGTCTGACTTAACGTAAGCTTTACCAAAACTGAAAGATGTTAGCGATACCTACTAGTATTCCCTTGTACAACGGGAAATAATGAAATGAAAAAATATATTGTTCGTTTATTACATCGAAATTAAGATGATGTCAATCTCAACTGTTCGGTAATTCTGATTAGACCAATCCGATGTAAATCTGTTTGCTTCTAAAAGTATTTTGACCGACATTAATATATCTATCAAAATTCCTGAAAGATAATATAATTAACAAATATACTATTATCTAATACTAGCTTAAGAGAAAAATTAATAAATATATACTAGAACAATGAACCTAAAACTAAAAACCTTAAAAAATTAAATATAATAACATTATTAAAATAAAAGGAGTCCCTTTAAGCACGGTTCCGAAGATACTGGCAGCGTTCCCCCTTTGAATAGCTAGACTAATTCTTTGTCCGAGGTAGCTGCCAGCTCTTCGGCACGGTAATAATATCATACAGTATTCTATCTTCATACAAACGGTCGGAAAGCGAGTCATACCTACGCCACTCGAGTTCGATGTGCTCTCGGCGTGCACCCAGTCGCGAATGCGCCGCCGCGCCGCAACGACGACCGAACGTCTGAATGGTTTTTTATGCAGTTAGCCGTGCTTAAACATGCGTTATGTATTGTAAATATTTGATTTAACTAAGTAGATACCTACATAATTTAGTATGAAAAAGAACAAACGACGATCAATATCGTACAACAGCACAATTGCTGTTTTTGGTTGCTTGAACTCTTCAATAACACACCCAGAGATATCATTTTTTAAATTACCTGAAATATTGGAAAGGTGTCTTACCTTTATAGAATATTTTTTATGTACCTATCTACTAGTACGTTAATTGTTTCTAATATTTAGGTATTTCGGTTTTTCCATCGGGCAAAATATCTGGAATAATATATAAATAAGTGGTTAGGATGAAAAAAGAGACAAACGAGTAATCTACCTACACTCGCGTTAAAAACAAAACTACATAAAATACTGTAGGCTGGCGGCCCTACCGCGTGCCAACGCAGCGCTCGGTGTAGGCATTTATTTTCAAGGACAGGGCGGAGTCACAATACTGTATAGATAATATTACCGTGTCTTCGGTCTATTATTGTTTTAAGAAACAATATTACGGTGCGAGTGTTTTTTTTATCGCAAGCATCTTTGAGATAGAGTAGCCGCTTGCCATGAGAGGTCCATACGCTTGCTTGCCATCCCTTTAACATAAAACAAATGGCTGTGAGAAGGGCAAAGCAAGTGACTTCAATATCAGCCGTGTAGTCATAGTACCTTTGCTTGTACATCATATGCATGTGCCTTCTACGAAAACAACAGAGCGTTTGATTTTTAAGAATTTAAAAAACTTATTAAAGCGGTAGTGTTAGGGAAAAATATTAAATGACGTATTTCTAAATCATATCAAATGAATACAAAATAAGTTGTCTAAAAATTCTTCTTGCAAGTTATATTTTTTTATTTTTTGCTATATGCACTGCTAGATGTTTAAATGTAAAGAAAATTTTAATAGAAAAAAATCCACGCGGGTCAGGCAGCAGACAGGATTCGAACCCGCACCCTCCGTTACCCGGGCGGATACACTGACGATTATGCTAACGCGCCCCTAATGGCTGTGTCGAATTTTCTCTAGTGTTTCATAGGCTGCAAGGCAGCGCCATCTCCTCGCAATGTAGGTAACCTACAATGTCAAATGAATACCTTTACAAATATTAAACATTTGAAAGGAGAAATAGCAATTATAGTTATATTTTTATTTTTTTAAGCGTGAAATCAAGTGTTAAAAATTCGTGTAGTCAGCAGACGGAACTCGAACCCACACCCTCCGCTATCTAAGCGGATACACTGACTATTATGCTACCGCCGCCGCCGTCCTAATAAATATGACTTACTTCCAAGTTTTGAAACAAGTATTAGTTTTGGTTTTGGTCATCAGACCATTTTTAATTCTGTTTTGGCAGAACACACACGTTTACATTATTTATATTTTCTAATTAATAAAAAAAGGTAATTAGGCTTATACCCAATTTGTGCGGCGTGTCTGTTGTGTTTTTACCTCTCTTAAATTAGACCCGTTTATTTTTACGATATTGTGTTTCAGCTCATATGATAGATTGTAAGGAGCAATTTATTACCGTAAAAATCCACTTGTCGCGTCTCAGATATCACAAAGGGCTCGAGAACATAACGAATGGGTTAAGGGTTTGATATCCGAGACAGTTTGAATTTATCTTTAAGTACAGATCACATTGGAATCGAAGTGAAAAGTTTCGTTCAGGGCGGTCAATGATATATAAACAATACTCAGAGTTACTCAGAGGGCCATAGTTACAGATTTCGTCACTTGAACGCAACGGTATTAAAAACTATCGTTGCCTGAATGCCATTTTTTTAAATATATATGTTATGGGCTAAGTGATTAATGCGGGCAGTATTCTTAATGCCAGGGCAGTATGAATAATGCCCAGCCATATCGGGTCAAGTGATTAATTACAATCTAAACTCACCTATTTATCGGCATTATTAATAATGCCGGACGGCTCGTGGTCCATGTAATAAGTCAGTGTTTGAGATAGCTTGAATTTTTCGCTTGGACCGGGCAGTATGAATAAATTCAAAAAGTTGGTACTATTGTCAAAATGACAGGTGTCTCGCCATTTTGTATAGAGATCTTGATAATAAAAAATAATATGGGCTCAACACTTAGAAAAATAAGGTAAATGTGGCTTTACAATAGTCTTTAATTCAGAACCGACTTGGTCAACCCCGACACGCCGTGGTCTTGGTCTGCCCTACCTCTCGACTGTTTTTTAGAGCCCAGAGGCGCAGAGAGACCAACAAGCCGAAGGTGTGAAGGGGAGTGATGCTTGTGACTTTGTCACGAAAAGGCGGCAGGGGCTGCTATTCCCGTAGCGCCGGAGATAAGGCAGAAATACTAGTTCTAACTTCCCTAGTTTTTCAAACAAACTGCATTGAAACTACTATAGACTATAGTTTCTTAATGTAGCCCTTCGTAAATTGATCGAAGTAAAACCGAAGTCAGATTATTTACATTTTAAAAATAAATACTAAACTATAAAACATGTTTTTATTATTACTCTACCCGATAATTGATTTCATTACTTGTAATGCTCGGTCTATCTAAGAATTCATTTGAAAGTATTAAACATGCTTCACATCACTCTGCCCAAAAGGCACTGGGCATTATTCATAATGCCCGGGAAATGTGATAAATTGGTTGGTTATAATCACATTGCCCGCTATTCTTTGGAATTATTCATATTGCCCGGGCATTGAATAATGCCCGATTAATTACTTAGCCCATAACATATATACTCCTAAAAGAATACTATGTAGTATATACATACAGTATATACATATAGTATACATCCATACCATACATATTTAAATAACCAACCTGTATACTATACATAATGGGATGTATAGTACACAAGTTATACAGGTATACGTAGAATGATGCATTTCGTGCGGATTTTTGGTTTTTATTTTTCAAGATTACCATATACTAAATACAACGATGTATTAATAATAAAGTATGAAATATTACAAACAAATAAACTAATGGACTACTTTCTTTACCACTCTCACCGGCGGAGATGCGCGACGAGGCGGCCTGGCTTCTCGCAGTGGAACCTCTTTCAGTCAGCTGAGTCACGTCTGTTGCAGTAGTCACTGACTCTGCAGAACAAAAGGAACTTTTAAGAAGTTACTAGACTTTTTACGTTAAAAGGTGGTAATCTAGCATATGGCCCCTGCGTCGCTCTCCCCCTGGGGGATGATCGCTTCCGATGAAGCCTTAGAGGCCTTCTCGGCCAGAGGCAGCCCCTATGGGTGTTTTTTAGTCAGTACGAGTCTGACATAACCTTGCAGCCGGTTGTAGGGTATCCATGAGGATTTCTCACCCGCTCCCCCCCTGGGGGACGATCGCTTCCGATGAAGCCTTAGAGGCCTTCCCGGCCAGAGGCAGCCCCTATAGGTGTTTTTAGTCAGTACGAGTCTGACATAACCTTGCAGCCGGCTGTAGGGTATCCATGAGGATTTCTCACCCGCTCCCCTGCATGGGAGGAAACAAAAAAAAAACATATGGCCCGCTTGATGGTAAGCGGTCACCATAGCATATAGACGATTGCGATGTATAAAATATCACTCCTACCCAATCCCTTACTTCGTAGAAACTCAGCACCATCAAAAGGTAGAATTATTTTATTGTTATCTTCTGTAAGGTGGAGCTTACTTCCCCAGACGAGTGCTCCAATTCGAGAAATCCACTATGTTGTTTGGCATTTCTGTGCGAGACGGAACGCACCAAGTTCAGGTTCGGCTCGGTCACCAATCCGTATGGTGCTGCATGACGCGATATAAAAATCGACGCTGTCTTATTAAATATGTATACAAAAAAATATCCTACTTATTCAATATATAATATAAACAGCATTCAATCCTAAAATATCCAATTATAAGCACAAATCCTTTATAAACAAGCTTGCTTCGGCACAAAATCCTGACGAAAGAATAACATAATATAACCTCCGTCTATTCAGTGCGCCGCCGCCGTGGTCTTTACACACACACCGTAATTCAATGTTATTTATGGTCTAGCTAACCTATTCTATTCACAGCAGTGCAATTTCCATTTGCATATTTACACGGTGCGATATAATATTATACAAAGGATTTGATCCTCTTGATCACTTGCACCAGCATTAAGCTCAATTCTGTTGTAAATATTATTCTAATTTTTTCAATTGTTTTGTTACATGTACAATTACAGTTGTTTTACCCAAACACAATCACGTGAAATGAAATGAATCTGTATCCTTATTTTAAATTAAACTAGATTTTAGTTTGTTTAATGTTAAACTGTAAACCAAGCATTGGACCGTCTACCATAGGCTATAGACACTTGTGATATGTCTAATTATAACATTTAGGGCGAGTTGCACTTGTTCGCGCTTAAACTACGCGCGGGAAATACGCAAACCGACGAACACTGCCGAATGATCACGACGGCGGCCGACGGGCGTTGTCGGCAACAATCGTTTTTATTATAACGGCTCTTGAGAGAAGATAAGAAACAGAAAATTTTACTCGCTTCGTTTAATTACATATCTTTATATATATAATTCTTCTGTGAGTGTGTATGTCACTGAACTTCTCTTAAACGACTGGACCGATTTTGATGAAATTTTTTGTGTGTGTTCAAGGGGATCTGAGAATGGTTTAGATTCACAATTTTGTCCACTGGACAACCCCTATTTTTTTAGGGCGGTACGAAGTTCGCTGGGTCAGCTAGTATATTATAATTCATTAATATTATCAAATCTGCAATAATCAAATAAATTGAAGATTAAATGCTTGTAAAGGAATCAAGATTGGGATTATTATTTCCTGGAGTTCACAGCACTAACTTACTTTAACTTTAACTTAATAACATGTTTAAATATAGTAAAATTAAACTTTAACCTTAACTAGCTTTGTGGTGCAATACTTTTTCCGCGATCTTCTTCAAAGCTAAGTGTCAATTAAAAACATACATTCATTCAAGTTAAACTAAGATAATATCGTTAATATATAAATATGATGACTCGTAAGGCTCTGTCTCGTCAGGAGGAATCTAAACTTCAACTGACTTTGAGAGAACTCAAAGCCTCTAAGGATTTATGCGACCAACTACACAAGGAACGGGATGACAATGAGAGGGAATTAATAGAAATTTTAGATAAAAATCAAAAGTTAAAGAGCGAAATGGTAGAACTGCACAAACAGTGTATTGATACTATTGAAGCTCGGGACAGGCTCCAGTTCATCGTAGATGGCTTTGATCAATGTAGAAGTGAATATGACCAAGCATTACAGCGTATTCACATCTTGGAAAAGCAACTACATGACGCAAAAAACACAATATCACTATTAGAAATGTCAAAACACAATAAAACTGTCTCGTTGAATCGGAGCTTGTTTGATGAGTTGGTAGTCAGTGCGCCAGAGATGGTTTCTGTGCCAGCCAATAACCAACCAATTGTTACAATAGATCTTACTTGTAATGACAGTAGAAATAACAAATTGGGGGTTGTTGGATGTAACAGGAACAAATTAAAGAAATATGTAAAAATTAATAGATATATTAAAAAAACTCAAAAGTTAATTAAAAAACAAAAGTTATTTATAAAAAATGTTAATATCAACAGGGAGAGATTACAGTTAATTGATGAATTGGACATTTATTCTGCAAAATATAATAACATTAGTTTAAAATATGAAACAGACACTCAAATTTTACAAAGTAAAATAGATAAACTACAAGATTGTCTCTCAAATGTAACCAAAAAATATGAATTAGCACAATGTGAAATGAAGGAACACATGCAGGCCATGAATGAGTTAATTGATTTATGCAATTACAATAATGAAAGATTTCATTCATTAACAAAACAATCACACTTGTGATTGTAAACAGTTGGGAACTCAATCATCGCTCAATTTTGACTCCTACACTTTACAACATAAGTCTGTATCTATTGATTCCCAACTTCAGCCAATAGGTACACACTTGACACCGGTGAAAGTAACTCACTCAAGAAACACATCTTTAGATAATAAAAATAACAAGATTATAATGTTTAGTGATGAAATTGGGAAGAATATGGGCCCTCTTTTATCTAAAATGGGACATTCAATAACAAATAACTGTATGCCTGGTACCTCTTATAAGGATATTTTAGAAAAGGCAAGTAAGCATAGCTACAGCAAATGTCACACCTTGTTATTTTTTGTAGGAAACAGAGGCAATTTGAACAAAAAAATATTATTAAAATATATAACAGATTTAAATACATTAAATGTGGAAAAAATTGTATTGTTCACATTGCCTTACTGCAACAGTCTGCCAAAAGAGGAAAATTTGTTAAGATATAAATTAAATATGCTTTTGTACACAATTTGTAAAAGCAAAAAATACCATTTGATTGACTCTAACAATTATGTTAGAAATTTTTATTTGACAAAAGATAAATATTATCTTTCTAATTATAATAAAAGACAGGTAGCTAAATCGCTATCATATTTCTTTTTTATGTCAGCCAAGAATTTGGCTAAACAACTTGCTCCTATTGAGCAACCTTCTAATGACATGACAATCAGTAATTATTCTACTGAAACCACTCAAAATAATAATAAATGTTTAAATTAAGCAATCAGACAAAAGATAATTCGTCTTGCATATTGTTAAATAATAATGTAAATAAAAAATACAATTTTGTTAATATAGATAAAAAAAACCCATCCAAAAACATTGCAAAAAATGTAAGTTTTATCAACCTGGTGCATCTTAATATTCAAAGAAATGATGGGTAAGGACTTAGAAATTGAATTATTTATGAATTGTAATAATATAGATATTTTTTGTATTACAGAGCACTGGCTAAAAAGTTATCAAAATATATTTAATTTTAATAATCATCAGGTTGGTAGTTCGTTCAATCGAGAAAATGCAATTCGAGGTGGCTCTTTAATATTATTGAATAAAAAACTAAAATTTAAGGAACGAAGAGATATTGTGAGCCTCTCGGTTGAGCGAACAATAGAAATTGCCTGTGTGGAACTGGACCAGCTTGTTGTATTGAGCGTATACAGACCTCCATCAGCATTGTATGATTGTTTTGAAGTTATCATGGATGAAGCTCTTAAAAAAACATACACTACAGGCAAACGGTTGATTGTCTGTGGTGACTTTAATATTGATTTATTAGAAAAATCTAGTTCATGTACTAAAATAAAAAATTTATTTCAATCATACAATCTGAAAAACTTATTCATTGAGCCTACTAGAATAGCTGCCACTTCGGCCACTTGTATTGATAATATACATACAGATATTATACCACAGAAAAAACAAATTATTAATAAACTAGATAGTGATCATTGTGGCCAGTTGATTACTTTTCCGTATCAGCTCAAGCAGATGACGAAAAAACACATCACTGTTATACCAAAAACTGCTAATCGTGTGGAACGTTTTAAAAATCAATTAGATAGAAAATTGTGTTATCTTAAATATAAAGACAGTCCAAATGATTTATATAATGATTTTTTTAATATATATTGCGATGAATTTAATAATGTTTTTGTACCCAAAAAAATATGTGTTAATGATGCGGTAAATTTTAGTAAGTGGGCTACGCCTGGAATTCATAAAAGTAGAAGAACACTTTATGAACTTTATAATGAACGAAACTCTAACACTAGTGAAAAATTTAAAGAGCATGTTCGTAACTATTCCAAATTGTTTAAAAAAGTATGCCGCTTAGCAAAATCAAATTACTTAAGTTCAAAGATTAAGAACAGTAATGACAAAATCAAAATGACATGGAATATTATAAACAATGAAACTGGAAAATCCAAAACTCGCAAAAATAATTATAACCTAAATATTGATAATAAAAAGGTTACATCAGATATTGAAGTTGCTAAAGTGTTTGAAAATTTCTTTACTGATATTCCAGTTTCAACTACGAAATCTTTGAACTCTTCCCCCATTGCTGCCGAATCAATCTTAAGAGAAAACGTGAAACCTTGTACTAGTTATTTTCATTTTAAACATGTTGACTTTAAAGATGTAATAAAAACGTTTCACCAATTAAATAAAAAGAAAACCGCGGATCTGTGGGGCAATTCCGTTG